CCTTTTCGATCAAGGAGTGCAACGCACGTAAAAGCTCCTCTCGCCAGATTCGCCTAAAAACGCATTTTCCTGTTCTACTCAAAGGTCTCTCAGGGGTACCAGGGGCCCCTTCTATTCTTCCCATTTCGTATGAAATTTCAATAAGAAAAACCCCATACCCGTTAGAGCGATACGGCGGCAAGACCATCACACAAGAAAGTGAATTATCACAAGTTACACTTCTCTTCCATTCCCTGCTAAAATAACCTGCGAAATGATAACCATAATCATCCACTTCAAACAACACAATGAATGAAAAGAAGTGCAAATCATCCACCGTGGTTTTTTCCTCCAGAAAAAATTTCGCAATTTGCGCTATTCGTCGCGTATATGAAACGGAAGCGGGCTTTCGTCCATCAATTTCAAAGACAACACAACGCTTCTTAGAACAACGGCAAATTTCATCACCTGGAATCCAATACCGATACAAGCATGCATCCGAGTGCTCTCGCAGCTCTTTCATTGTCGAAAGGCACAAAAGACATGCCTCACACATGAAGATGTCCTTTACATCACATGTGTCTTCAAAGTTTCGCGGAACATACTCGCTGGTATACTGTCTAAACAGAGTTTTGATAGTGACAAACCCCACCCTTCGACGTTTCATCACATACCTGGTACTATGAGATTAAACCAAAGAGAGGAAAAGATAAACAGAGTACACGAAAAATCAAGAAACCAATATATAACACAACACCGATAAGGGTACAACAGGGATACCTCAAACATTTCATAGATACTAAATACCAACTGTTCTCACAACACAGAAAACTCCGAAAACAACCAAATAACCAGCAATAACCTAATCCTAATTCTAATTCCCTTCCCCTTTGCCCATTTTATGTTCCTAATGGTGTCCTAGATCCACAGCGCCCGGTGCCGGCCTGAGAGTCGCTGGGCCAGCGGCATAACCTTCACCGATATCAAAAGCAAAGTCCCACGGCTTCCGATCCTGCTTGCGCCACCCATAGTCAAGGTGACTTGGTCCACCACCCGCAATATCGTCCAGTTTTGCCCAAAAACCGTCATACATAATAGCACCAATAATCAAAAACGGACCAGCGACACAAAGGGCCATCCAATAATTTTGACCGGGCTTGTGGTAAACCTCACTTGTCCAAAAACCGACTCCCCGAAGACCAAAGTTTGGACGAGCCTTGGCTTTTGCATTAAAGGCATTCAGGTAGGTTCGCCTACTGGTTGTCAAAGCAGAGCGAAACATTCCCTTTCTTTGTAGCTTTAACCTGAGAACCAATACTTCCGAAAAAGCAAGAATTAAAAAAAAATAATTCACCAACGTGAGACAAAAGATTAATATCAAATAGAATAAACACGAAAAAGAACTCTAAGATGCAATAAAAAAAAATCAAACACAAAGATGATAACATAGATGATACTGAAGATATTACCCCTTCGTGCAAAAAAAAGGAAAAGAAAAGGAAAGGTTGCGGCGAAAACAACGAAAAAAATTCTAATAAAAGTAGATTTTTTCTATAGGTGACGTTGCGTGCGCGACCCACAGCATGCCTCTCTAGTAAGCAAGTAGGGGAGCACAAAGTCAAGAGTAAGCAAGTACATTTTTCAATGCCCTTTATATCTAGTTTCATGAATCTCATTTATATTTTGTCCACATTGGCGCATATTTTTTTTTCTTCTAATCTGCTTCATAACGCCGTCTCTAATCCTGCAACCGCACCTTCTCCATCCAGATACGGCAACCAAACTCCCTGTAAAGCTCTTTAAGGAGCTGCACAAAGTCAATCCTTGACTTTGCGCTGTAATAGAACGTGAGCTTCTTCTTGTCAAACTGGTACTCGGCATGACGTATCTCCATATCAAATCCATGACGATACACACGCTGCTGGCAGAAGGAAACTGCGACAGCCTCGTCCTCTTTGAGATCCGTGGCCCAGTAATCTACTTCACGCTGTGTTGCATGTCGCAGAATGCTGCCAGTTGGTCCAGAGCGCTCCACATACGCTTTACAAGTCTCCGTGTTCACCCGAATAACAACCCCAATGTCGATTCCTCTGTCACCCTGAACAACGACGTACTGACCTTTGGCGACGACAATAGGGGAGGAGAACTCCTTTTGGTGACACTTAAACTGCACAAGTGCATTACAAACAGGAGGCATGGTCGGAGTCGGCGGAGCATCTTCTTTATCCACGAAAAGATCCTGTGTAGTTGGGATTCTTATCGAGCTCGTTGTTTCGGGAAATGGTGCGGTGCTCGAGGTTATCGAAGGTTCTCCAAGACACTTCCATCCATAGGGATTATGCCGCTTAACCGCAAGTTCTCCGGGTCGAGCGAGTGAAGCGGCCTTGACCATCTTCCCATTAAGGGGAATTTGAACATTGGTGATATCTGCAAGAGATGTAAACATCTTAACTTATAGAATTTCCCCTCTGTTGCTGCAGACTAATAGAGAACCGAGTACCATACAAAGGACAAAGAAAAAATAGCAGTTGAAC